GATTTTCTTCATTCCACCAAGTTCTTGTGATGCCTATTATATTAATAGCCTCATTTAATGCCAGGCACTCTAGTTCACCCATCTTAGTATTTAGACTTCTCACATTTGTATATAAGCACTTGTACATTTTGTCAATATTCAGTTGCTTGCTTTTATGTGTTATATTTAAATGGGGTCTCTTATGCTTTACTGTTCCTGACTAGCTTCTACCTGTACTTTACCAACTTCTTTTCTATCCTCTCTACTTGGATGGGGAGTTCCCCCTTTAATAAATTCATCCCTAAGGGATGTCTCTACCCAAACTATGTTCCTCTGCATCTGTCAGCTTTCCTCCAGCCCTTATTTAAAAACAAAATGTTAAACCTGTCGAATTTTACATGTCAACGGTCTGGTTCCTTACATCTGATCACCTCTACACTGATACCTCCACTACTAAATGTTACAGTGTTATCTCTTTCAGTACCTTTATATATCTACACAAAAAAACAGGAGTACTAACAAATTTATTTGAGCATAAGCATTCATGGGCTACAGCCTACTTCATCGGATGCATCTTATGCTCAAATAAATTTGTTAGTCTCTAAGGTGCCACAAGTACTCCTGTTCTTTTTGCAGATACAGACTAACACGGCTGCTACTCTGTAACCTTTATATATCTAGACATTTTTAGCGATAGTCTACAACTTTATTGTACATGTGCATCACAATATTGTGACTTTAAAAGGATTCTGTCAAGTTGCCTAGACCTGAAATGTTAGTTACTTTAAAATCATTCCAATGTGATGTAGAATGCCTTCTGTATTCTAAGACTGCAGTCCTTAAAGCTGATCTGTGTGGGCAAAGAGGATGTGTTTTTATACTGGAATTTTTATACTGTTTAAGGCTCCAGTTTACTGTTTTAAAAAATCCCAAAGAATAACCTATGGTTGCATAGAATCATAAAAACAGTGTTTTCTATTGGTTGTGCAGTAGTAGTTGTCTAACTAACAAGCACTATTTTGAAGTGTGTTCATAGCCATAGTTACGTTTTTAAGAGATCTAAGCTAATTGGACAGATACATTTTGTTTCAAATTTGAAGTAGAGTTGAAAATTAGCCTTTCTTTCTCTATGTCCATAGGAAAGGACAAAATCAGTAGAGAGAAAAAATATTTTGAGGCTTGTAAGAAGGAGAGGGAAACCAAGGAGAGTATTTAAAAAAAAAGAAAATGTACGGATATTATAAGTAATCAACTTTGCTTTGGATGTGAGAAATCAATATCGCTTCTGTAATATTAATGTTATTTTGTACAGTTATACAGAACTTATAAGAATTATGAAATATGAAGCTTACATGTAGTATATTAAAATTTCTTATTTCAGATTTTTTGTTTGCAATACCATATCAGTCATCTCTTTTGTAACATTTTCAAAGAGTGATTTAAGAGTTTTCTAACTTCTTGTATGTTTCTTAAATGTGATTAAAAAGAACAGAGCATTAACTGTTTGAGCTTCTTTCTTGTTTCAGTTAGTGGATAAACTTAACACCAATACAGATATGGAAGAAGTGATGAGCGATTATAATATGGTAAGAGTTTGAGGATTTGCCATGTTAATATAGCATTTACTATATATATATATATATATTTATAATATATATATATATATATACATTACAACTTCAGTACTTCAAATGTTTGTGCATATGCATGGTTTTGTTGACCTAAACAGTCTAATGACTGTAATGGGATTATTCAGGTGAGTAATACTAGGCAAATATGTAAGAGTTTGCAGGGTTGAGACTCACATCACTTCAGTGGAGTTGCCTGTGTGTGTTGTGTTAAGCACACGTGTAAGTGTTTGGAGGACTGAGGCCTTAGTTATAGGATTGTGACAGCATAAAACTCTCTTTTGTCTCAAAGTTTAGCAAACACTTTATAATTGTTTTCCAGAAACAGGATTGATAGTTTTAAAAAAAATAAATAGATGAAAAGTTTCTGTTATAAAAAACTCATTGAGATACTTCTTATATGTTTTCAGTGAATCCAGTTCTTTTTCTTGCTTCCCAAGGAAGTCCGTGTCTAAAATTTAGATCTTGAATATACCCTGAAAACACTGCATGGGATGTTAAATGTAGTATCCTGGCATCCCACATTCATTGTGTTAAAATACTGTGGTTAACATCCTAAATCAACATCTGTAGAGCTACAGTTATTGAAAGACTGACTAAACCTTTTCATCCAGCTATTTTGACCCAAATGCTGGGGTATCTGTGTTGGTCAGTGACACAGTTACTCTTAAAATCATCCTCAAAGCCCATGATATTTCTTTATTTAAGATAAGAGTGATATGTCTCCCAACCCAATGTACCAATATTTATATATATCACACATTATTTGGGTGGAAGGTGCAGAAAACTAATCACCTGAGAGGCTGACCACATTCACCAGTCTTCCTTGTAAAATTCCCCAGGCTCTTGAGTTTTTCTTCACTCTCCTCCACGCTCTGCCCTTCAAGTGACTCCAAAGCAATAGTGCATTAATGGGCCTATGGTGTGTTCAAAGCAAATACATGTCAGCTGTGTTTTCCCTTGAAGTTCTTTCTTAATTTCATAAGTTTGCTGGAGGGTGCCTCTAGGCACCAAGACTGCACCAGTGCTCACTGTGTTCATAGTCAGAAGGAACTTGTCTTTGAAAAGAGGCTTCCGGCAGCCTGAGAAGCCAGTGAAGCTATTTTTACCCCAAGTGATCCAACCTGATTATTAATAAAAACACTGATGGGCAGTTTCTGTGATTACAGCTCCCATTCAAATGCAGGCTTCCAATGGGAATTACAGTTACAGAATCCATCTCTGCAGCATCAGATAGGTCTTTGGGTAGGAAGCCACTGCTATTCCTTCCCGTCTCCATTCTGGTCTTCCATTCCTCTCGTTCATTCAAATGTGTGTATAACCTTGGATGAATGGATAGTGTTTATATTTTCATTAGTGGCAAGTATCTTTTCATGCAAAAAACTGTTACTGATTATTGATTTTTTTTTTAACAGCTAAAAACTCAAAATGACCGGGAAGCTCAGAGTATTGATATAATTTTTACAGAGAGACAAGCGTAAGTACCACAAATATCAGAAAATTGAATTTTAGCATAAAGTAGCTTATTAAAAGGGGTAAGACTGAAGAAGTGATGTGATTGATCGGGGGATTTTTAACTCAGAAAAATATTGCCTGAGAGTTGAATGTATGCTCTACAAGCGTTACTGAATAAAGTTTGTAAGAAATAAAACTTCAGTCATTCAGTCAACTTTTTAAAGTACAGCATGGTCCTAAAGTACATTTAAAATATTGTTTCAATGCATTTTAATAAAGAAGTTGATTTTTAATTAGATGAAACACATAAGAACATAAGAAAGGCCGTACCGGGTCAGACCAAAGGTCCATCTAGACCAGTATCCTGTCTACCGACTGTGGCCAATGCCAGGTGCCCCAGAGGGAGTGAACCTAACAGGCAATGATCAAGTGATCTCTCTCCTGCCATACATCTCCATCCTCTGTCAGACAGAGGCTAGGGACACCATTCCTTACCCGTCCTGGCTAATAGCCATTAATGGACTTAACCACCATGAATTTATCCAGTTCTCTTTTAAACTCTGTTATAGTCCTAGCCTTCACACCCTTCTCAGGTAAGGAGTTCCACAAGTTGACTGTGCGCTGCGTGAAGAAGAACTTCCTTTTATTTGTTTTAAACCTGCTGCCTATTAATTTCATTTGATGACCCCTAGTTCTTGTATTATGGGAATAAGTAAATAACTTTTTCTTATTCACTTTCTCCACATCACTCATGATTTTTATATACCTCTATCATATCCCCCCTTAGTCTCCCCTTTTCCAAGCTGAAGAGTCCTAGCCTCTTTAATCTCTCCTCATATGGGACCCATTCCAAACCCTTAATCATTTTAGTTGCCCTTTTCTGAACCTTTTCTAGTGCCAGTATATCTTTTTTGAGATGAGGAGACCACATCTGTACGCAGTATTCGAGATGAGGGCGTACCATTGATTTATATAAGGGCAATAATATATTCTCAGTCTTATTCTCTATAGCCTTTTTAATGATTCCTAACATCCTGTTTGCTTTTTTGACCACCTCTGCACACTGTGTGGATATTTTCAGAGAACTATCCATGATGACTCCTAGATCTTTTTCCTGACTTGTAGCTAAATTAGCCCCCATCATATTGTATGTATAGTTGGGGTTATTTTTTCCAATGTGCATTACTTTACATTTATCCACATTAAATTTCATTTGCCATTTTGTGGCCCAATCACTTAGTTTTGTGAGATCTTTTT